CGACAACGATAAAGGCTGACGATGTTTTACCATACCAAGGTATATGTCATCACATCTCTGCTATGTATCAAGTATGAGGAGGAGGAGTGGGCGGGGAGATTACCTGGGTGGCGAGGATGACGGCATCGCGGTGGAGGAAGAGGGTGAAGGAGCTGGTGAGGTTGAAGGGCCCGGTGAGCCACCGACCGGCGGGGACGAAGAGCATCCCGCCGCCGTCGGAGGCGAACTGGCTGAGGTGCGAAACCGCAGCCTGGAACGCCGCCGTGTTGGAGGTGGCGCCGTCGCCGACTCCGCCGAAGTCCGACAGGGACGCCGTGTGGGCCCGGCAAGCGGCGGCCGAGTACTTGAACTGCTCCACCCCTCCGCCTTTGCCGTCCTCGCTGCCACCGGGTAACTGGCGCTTTCTTCTGATGCATTCCGCCGGCCCGATGAACGCCGCCGCCACCAGCAGCCACGTCGCTAGAATCTGGCAGCGAAAAGACGATGAATGGTTAGGGAAGAATCAACATTTACAACGGAGCTAAATCTCTGATCCTTTTCACTGTTCCTCGCAGGATCGACACGTAAAAGACGGTTCTTTTGCGAAGAAGAAGCGATCTTTGAGGTGGAACTCCAGGAAAAGAGCAAGAACGCAATCCGCAGCGTCATCCTCTCGTTTGCATGCTTCAACATCGAATTGATAAGATGAACGGATCAATCCAAGATCAGAGGCTACGAGTTAAAGTTTCGGTGTTTCCCTGTCCTCGAAGGTAAAAAAAATGATTCCTTTTCCTTTAGGAGGAACTCAAGAAAGGGATGACAAGAACGCAATGCGTCAAGTCGCTCTCTTGCTTTGGCAAAAACGATCACTCTTTTATCGACATTTGAAGAAAAGGGATGCATAGAAGTAAAAAATGAAGCTTTTTTTGGAGAATCAGAACAGGGCGAAGAAGGGAAGGAGAACAAAGAAGAAGCAGAGGAGAAGGAAATGGTCCATACTCTGCTTCCGTTCAACCTAAAACAAGAAGAAGAAGGAGGAGGAGGAGGCCATGAGAGAACAGAGACGGTAACGGTGATACCAGTGGGAGTGAGATGCAGCTGCGCCCTTGCAACTCCATCGTCGATGTCCCTCAGCGACCGGACTTGCGACGAAGGCGAGGGGGAGGGCGGGCAAATGGAGTCCATTTATAGGGGCTGCCCTTCGGCGTATAAGGTGTGTCCATTGGCGTCACATCAGAGACGTATCTACCTCAACACGATGTGGCATTGATACCGATATTGGATCTCGATTTAGACCTTTTAACCGGATAGAATGTAAGATGGAGATCTATGAGATGAAATCGAAACATCAAGATGAAAGAGAGAGAGAGAGAGAAAGGGCGACACATCAAACAGTGTTTGTTGACGTTACCTGATTCCAGAAGACGCAGCAGGAGGCAACAATTAAGGCCCGTGATCGTTGCTTCGTCGGCATTCGCGCCCGTGCTCCGCCCCGTTCACGGGCGGAGAGGCCGGTGCGGTGACCCACCACAAATCCTCACGTGAACGTGAAAGGAACGAGAAGATGAGCAGCAGAGTAGCAGGAGGAGTCAAGCGTCGTGCTGACACATTGCGACTGCAGAGCTCCGAACACATTGCCAACCTGTTAACTGTGGTAGAAAAATAAATGATCCCATGTCCTTTACTTATATACACCGTCAAATGAGACAGCCAAGAACAGAATCTTCATGTGAGTTTCTAGAGACGGAACACAGAGACCTCCGACGCATCAACACAACACAACACAACACAACACAGGAGGCAAGAAATGTTCCTCCTCCTTGCCATTAAAGAAACCGACCCACTCGAGTAGCAAACACAGATAGGATGCAAAAGACTCGACTAATATGGGAAACACTCAAACCAAACATGGTTGAGTGCACTGCACGCACTCCTTTGGGGAACCCACCATCTCTCATTGCCTTCCTTTGTTTGGTGCACAGTGGGAGCAGCCTCGATAGTCCATTCCTTCAAGCAAACTACAAATCTACCCTTCTGATCGACCTTTGTGTAGGCAAAAGATTATTCTTTTTGGATGCAAGTTCGCATGTCAGTATCAACATTTCTTCTCATTTTTTTATTAGAAATCTTATCCTAATTTTTTATTATTTTCAGTTTCATTATATAATTATTTTGTTTTGTTTATTGATCTATGAACTCTTTTTTATTA